GAAAAGGAGGGAGGGGGGAGAGGCCCCAAAGAAGCCCCCAAGAGGCCCAAAGAAGCTCCCAAGAGGCCTCCAGGAGGCCCCCAAGAGGCTCCCAAGAGGCCCCGCGACGATGTGACTGTACGTGCTCCGGACGTGCACCCCGCGAAGCGAGAGGAATCAGCAAAACTGCAGAAAGAGGCGAAATCCAGCACATGAAACAAATAGGGCGTGTGATTCCAGCAATGGGATACATTGAAGAATATCAGCTACTGCCCCGACTTATTTCAAGATGTGAACACTTACGGATACGGCTCAAGTTCTTCTTGCCCGTCACCGTGAGCGGACGGCATGTGATGCTAACGCCTTTGTGTTGTCCTCCACTGTTGTAAAGCCGGCATGACATGCGCAAGACCACGAGAAACATGCCTGGGAAAGAAAACGCAATGACTATGTAACCCAGGGCTTCGAACACTTCCAGGTACGGACGGGGCTTTCCCGAGCACGTTCCACCAATCGGTTTGGATTTCGCACGGGGGCCCCCGAGACAAACCATATCGCGCCAACAAGAGCTCATCTGGGCCCGGCGGTCCTGGCATACCCCTGAAGTGGCAGCATCAGTGTCCTGGCTCGGCGGGACGCGGGCCTGAACACGAAACTACAGCTTCGGACAAATCTGCAGGAGCTCCACTCCCGCCAACAAGTACCAGCCGGGCAATCTTGACCTCGTGCTGCAATTCTTCGTTCTCGGCGGGGGGGGGTCATCCGTGGATGCTGGTCGGACCCCTCCTCAGCCGCGAGGTCGGCACAGAGTGGGGGCCGCTCCAGAAGCAGCCTTCCGCGCGAAACCCAATCCTGAGACCCCAGGACGTCCGTCGATGCTCTGGCGCGGGAACGCAAAACTTGACGTCGCAGAACAATCGAAGCCCCAGAAACCAAGGGGACCCTGGAGGCAAGCAGGGTGTTTCTTGGTATGGGTCTCCACTGTAAGAAATCGACGACGACCTTTCGCGATGTTGACCTGTTTCGCAGCGTCGGATCTCAATGGTGCCGCGCCGCCGACTCGTACTGTCAGATCGGGCATGTCCCCCGACAGGCGGATGTTGGACGAAAAATTAAGCATGGTTTTAAAAAAAATAGCAACAAGAATCCACACATCGTCCCCGTGCTACGCTTTGACTATGTTCGAATGTTCCTCCTGTACCGGCTCCGCGAACGCAAGAAGCGCCCGCGCTGAGAGATCCCGCCCTCGTCGAGGCTGCAGGTTTCCCCCCCCCCGCCCCCCCGCGAGCGCCCCTCGCAGCCCCCGATCCCGCCGCGGGAGAGGGCGACCTGCGCGTCCCCCTGGGGAGGACCATTGACTGGCCAGGCTGCGGGTCTTCCTCCTTCTCTTCTCCTCCTCCTCCTCCTCCTCCTCCGCCTCCTGCTCATCCTCCTCCCGTTCATTCTCCTTCTCGGCCTCCTCTTCCTCCTCCTCCTCCTCCTCCTCCTCCTGTGCCTCCTGCTCGTCCTCCTCTCGCTCATTCGCCTTCTCCTCCTGCTCCTCCTCCGCCTCCTCCTGCTCCTCCTCCGCCTCCTCCTTCTCCTTCTCCTCCGCATCCTCCTGCGCCTTCTCTCCTCCGCCATCCTTCCCTCCCTCCCCATCCCCTGCCCTCTCACCCCCGTGCGTCGCTACTGCAGCTTCGGTGGCCGTATTGACCGTCGTCGTCGTCGTCGTCGTCGTCGTCGTCGTCGTCGTCGTCGTCGTCGTCGTCGTCGTTATCGCTGCTTCCGCCATCGTCGTCGGAACGGGGGGGGATCCGAAGCAATTTCGCGCTCTTTCCGCCAGGGAAGAACCGGTCCGCGCGATGTATCCGAGCGGCAGGAGGAGGAGGAGGAGGAGGAGGAGGAGGAGGAGGAGGAGGAGGAGGAGGAGGAGGAGGAGGAGGAGGAGGAGGGAGGAGGAGTGAACGTACCTTGAGGCGAACTCGTCCGTCTAGCTCGGCGCAGATCGGCTAGGACGGTGGTTGGCCTGTACTTGGGGATGGGCGCTCGGCCGCTCTGGCATCACCAATGCTGCAGTGAGCATGGGGCCATACACGGGGAGCGGATTGTAGGTCGTGCGGGACGCTCGGGAAAGTGGGGAAAGCAGGGACGGGGGGCAAAGGCGAAAGGGAAGAGCGGGAAGTAGAGGACCTGTCGGGGGGCACTCGGCTGGCCGCGACAGCGGGGCTACATTCACCGGCGGGCTCCTCAAGCCTACTCATCGTCGTCGCGGTCACGTCGACGGGGGGCATGGAGAGGACGGGCTGGCGGGGTCCTTCGCAACCAGCGGCAGCGGCAGGAGGAGCATGTTCGTGGGGGACAGCGTCGGCCACTCCAGGCGGCGGGACGGCACGAACAGGATCATGCAGGGCTTCTTCGGGACAGACACGGGCGGCCTCCTCCAGCTTACTCAGCGTCGTCGCAATCACATCGACGGGGGGCGTGGAGAGGTCGGCCTGGCGGGGTCGTTCGCCACCAGCGGCAGCGGCAGGAAGAGCTTGTTTGTGGGGTACAGCGCCAGGCACTCCAGGCGGCGGGACGGCACGAGCAGCAACACGCAGGCCTTCTTCGGGATCCACCAGACGATCTGCCAGATCAGCATGAGCCGTGCAGCAGCAGCGGAGTTGAAGAAGGGCGGATCGGCGAAGGAACTCGACGCCAGGGACCGCTCAGTCATGTCGATCGTCTTCGGGAGGATCGCGGCGAGCGTCTTCATGCAGGTGTTCTTCGTGCAGGTGAACGGCATGCAGGTGTACTTCATGCGAGTGTTCTTGAGGATTGTCATGCAGGTGTGCTCCAGGCAGGTGTACTGCATGCAAGTGTCCGTGAGGATTGTCGTGCAGGTGTTCTCGATCATGGTCAGGAAGATCTTGTACGGGAAGGTCGCCACGCAAGGCGGCTGCGAGAACATGTTGTTCGCCGCACTCGGCGGTGTCTTCGGGGACTGGGTCGCCACCAGCGGCGGCATCATCACGGGCAGCAGTGTCCTCTACTGTCAGGTCGCACTCCACAAGGTCGAGCCACGCGTCGAAGCAGCGTATGAGCGGCCTATTCTGGAGTAGCGTCTTGCGCCGTGCAGCTCGATGCCATTCGCGGACAAGTGGACGGAGAGCAGCGCGGGCATCGCCAGCAGCACGAGGTCGGGCGCCACCAGCAGTGGCGGCTCGCGAAACAGGAACATCACGAGGTTGAGCGAGGAGGAGGAGGAAGAGCATGGCGGCAGGTGGAGGAGGCGGAGGAGGAGGAGGAGGAGGAGGGAGGAGGAGGAGGAGGAGGAGGATGGCGCCTGGCACTGCTCCTGGGCGGCGCCGCTTGGGAGAGGCGGCTCCTGGGAGGCCCGCGCCGGGCAAGACTGTCGGACGCAGCCCGTGGGCCACGAGGCCGGACTGCACCGAGCGACGCCAAGATGTTTCGAAATGTCTCTCCTCCTCCTCCTCCTCCTCCTCCTCCTCCTCCTCCTCCTCCTCCTCCCCTTTCCTCCTCGCTCTAGCGCTTGTCTTCCGACTCGCTGTCCTCCTGCTTCCCTCGCTGTCCTCCCCGTCATCCACGCTCTCAGCCTCGTCATCCGTCGCCTTGGCGTCGCCATCATCCTTCTCATCCGTTCTCCCCTACAAGCACGACGGGCAAAACCGGCGCTTCCCAGTCTTGTCTTATCAACTTTTTTAGCGGTCCATGGCACGGAGTTGCGGGCGCTCCTGCGCGCTTGTGGGGTTGCTCGCGTAACTCAGCCAAAGCCAAAAGCTCGGCGTTCCCGACATGCATGTTTGGCATGGCCCAAGATGACCCAAGGACCGTACTGGAACCCTCTCGGGCGCCTCCCGGGCTGTCTTGGAAGTCCAGTAGAGCGAGCGGCCCAAGATGCCAAACAGTGTCTAAATCAAAGGGCTCTGTATGCTGTTCGCATTGCCGCCTTCATAGCCTTCAGAGCGCCCAAGACGGCCCAAGAAGCGCCCAAGATCGCCAAAACACGGCCCAGGAGCCCCCGAGGGTCTCAAGAGGCCCCTGGGACAGCCCCTGGAGGGACCCCAAGAGGGGGACCCTGAAACGACACGTCGAGCCCCCCGCCCCAAGATGGCCCAAGACCCCCCCCTGAAGAGGCCCCCGAGGTGCCCCCCGCGAAAAGCCCCCCCGAGGAGGCCCCACCTCAAGAGGCCCCCGAGGCGCCCCCAACGCCGCCCCAAAAGCCGCTCCCGAGAGGCCTCCGAGAGGGCCCCCAATAGATCCTACCAGGCATTCTCCACCTCCTCCTCCTCCTCCTCCTCCTCCACCACCTTCACCTCCACCTCCACCTCCTCTGACTGACAACCCAGGCGCGGTGGCAGGGTGGGCCGAAGGCAACTGGATAGATAGTTACATTGCAGACGAACGCGCGCGGCCCTCAGGACGGACCCTCATTTTGAAAAAGCAGGCTTTCTCCACCCCTGAAACGATGAGAAACTTAAAGCTTCGGGGTCATGAAAGTGGAGGGAGTCTCAGGCGAAACGCCCGGCACGCCCCGCCAACACGTCTGGTAGTCAGACGAAGAGTTCTCTAACAATGGAAAGGGGTGCAAGAGAAGGTGGAGGAAGAGGAAGGCGAGGGAGGGAGGGAGGGATGAGGGAGGAAGATGGTGCGGCGAAGGAGGGAGCAGACCGCCTGGCTGGCATGGCTCCAGCCGACCATAGACTCGGAAGCCAGCTTCGCTTCAGCAAGGGGGCGCGAGTTGAGCCCCGCGGGAGAGGCTCAGAAGTGAAACCCGCATGAGAAAGCAACAGGAGACTCCAGGGTGAGTGGCGGTGCGAGGAAGAGGAGCGTGATCGGAAAAGCAGGAAAATCAGGGGCGACGATGGGGGCGAATCACTAGCCCAGGGGAGAGCAATACATGTATCCAGAGTCGCCGATGGTCCCTGCCTTCGGCGAGGCCCCTGGGCGAATACACGTAATGCCCGCCCTTGGGCTATTCGCCCCCATCGCCCCCTCCGAGAACAACAGGAGGACCGCCAAGCCAGGCGTTTCTGCTTCTAGCCGCGCTGAGCGGGCCCAAAAACGCTTGCGACGGTCTCGTCGGCCGAGGCCTCACTCAGGAGAAGCCTCTCTGGCAAGACGGCGTCGACACGGTCGAATCCTTGGCCCAGCCTCCCAGCGGCATGCTCAGCCAGCAGCTGGTGGTGCACATCTGCGAGCAGAGCACCAGGGGCGGCCAGGAGTCGGCAGCGCTCCACCCCGCCCAAGGTCAAAAAGCGCAGTGAGCCGCCGTCGAATGATGCCTGCAGGAGCAGCTTAACTCCAAACAGGCGCGCGGTATAGGTCACGCCTCCCTCCAGCGCCGGCACGTCGCACTGGCCGTCCTCATTGCCGCCGAAGGCTGCGACCGTGCCGTCGCTCCGGAGCAGGACCGTGTGCCACGCACCCGCGGCGACGTGCGTGTAGGTCACGCCTCCCTCCAGCGCCGGCACGTCGCACTGGCCGTACGCATTGTCGCCGAAGGCTGCGACCGTGCCGGCGCTCCGGAGCAGGACCGTGTGGAACTCACCCGCGGCGACGTGCGTGTAGGTCACGCCTCCCTCCAGCCCCGGCACGTCGCACTGGCCGTCCGCATTGTGGCCGAAGGCTGCGACCGTGCCGTCGCTCCGGAGCAGGACCATGTGGAACTGACGCGCGGCGACGTGCGTGTAGGTCACGCCTCCCTCCAGCGCTGGCACGTCGCACTGGCCGCACGCATTGTCGCCGAAGGCTGCGACCGTGCCGTCGCTCCGGAGCAGGACCGTGTGGAACTCACCCGCGGCGACGTGCGTGTAGGTCACGCCTCCCTCCAGCCCCGGCACGTCGCACTGGCCGTACGAATTGTGGCCGAAGGCTGCGACCGTGCCGTCGCTCCGGAGCAGGACCGTGTGCCACGCACCCGCGGCGTGCGTGTAGGTCACGCCTCCCTCCAGCGCCGGCACGTCGCACTGGCCGTCCTCATTGTCGCCGAAGGCTGCGACCGCGCCGTCGCTCCGGAGCAGGACCGTGTGGCGCGCACCCGCGGCGACGTGCGTGTAGGTCACGCCTCCCTCCAGCGCCGGCACGTCGCACTGGCCGTACCAATTGTCGCCGAAGGCTGCGACCGTGCCGTCGCTCCGGAGCAGGACCGTGTGGCACGCACCCGCGGCGACCATCCGTATAGGCCGGGGCGGGAGGGGCGCGCGGCCTGCCGCGGCGAGCGGGGCCAGCCGGGGGGGGCGCCTCGGAGCCCCGGGGGGGGCCGCGGCTCGAGCGGGGCGACCGCGGGCCAGGGGCGGCGAGGCGGGAGGGGGCGCGGTCGCGGGAGCGCAGCGGAGCACAGTCCCGCAGACTGGCAGTTACTTGCGCGTATCGTGGCGAGGGGGCCGAACGGTCTCACATTGTTCCCGGGCGCGTGGCCGACAAAGAGTTCCGTCGTGGCGATTCTGGCTGTGTTGTGTTATTGCCGTCGTCTTCTTCATGGTCGCCTCCACGACCCGCCTCACGATCCCCTCGGCCCAACCCGCGACCCGCCTGCGACCCACCCCCGACCATCCCGCCACCCACCCGCGATCCACCGGCAACCCATGACCGCGACTCACGCCCACGACTCAGCCGCGACCCACAGGCGACCCTCCAACAACACTGAACTGAAGGCTATCCGCCGACCCCTTGTGGGTCTCTAGGCGTGTGAGACAGTTCCCCCCCCATAACCCCCCCAGGGACCCGAAACTGGAGATTTGCCCCCCCCCCCCCCCCCCCCCCCCCCTCGCCTACTACGACCCCCCGCCGAACGCGCCAATGGGGAGCAGAGGGCCCAAAAACGGGCGCCAAGAGCGCACCAAGGGGTCTCCGAGACGGTCCAAGAAGGCCTTGAGTAGCCAAGCGAGCGGACCAAGACGACCAAGATGACTCCAAGATAAGCAAAGAGACTTCCAAAACGGCCCAAGAGGCCTCCAAGATGCGTCCCAAGAGGGTCCCTAGATGCAAACATGTGCCCATTCCTTTAGTAAAACATGCAATTTTCACAAATTCGCCTTCTGGGCTTTCCGATGCTCCCAGACAGCCCAAGAGGCCCCCAATACCGCCCCAAGACGGCCCAAGAAGCCTCCAAGAGGGCCCCAAGATAGCCCAAGAGGGCCCCAAGACGGCCCAACAGGCGCCGAAGACGGCCCAAGAGGGCCCCGAAGACGGCCCCAAGAGCGCTCCAGGAGCGCTCCAAGTGGCCTCCAAGAGAGCTCAATATGGCCCCACACGGTCCAAGAGCGATCAAAGACACCGAAGATGGCCTCCAGACGGCCCAAGATGCCCCCAAGAGGCTCCAAGAGGCATCCAAGATGCGCCCCAAGAGGGCCTCTAGACGCAAAAATTGGCCCGTTCCCATCGTGAAACGTAGCATGTTTCACAACTTCGCTTTTTGGGCTTTCCGACACTCCCAGACGGCCCAAGAGGACCCCAAGACGGTCCAAGAAGCCTCCAAGAGGGCCCCAAGACAGCCCAAGAGGGCCCCAAGACGGCTCAAGAGGCGCCGAAGACGGCCCAAGAGAGCCCCGAAGACGGCCCCAAGAGCGTTCCAGGAGCGCTCCAAGTGCTTCCAAGAGAGCTCAACATGGCCCCAGACGGTCCAAGAGCGATCGAAGACACCCAAGATGGCCTCCAGATGGCCCAAGGCGCCCCCAAGAGGCCTCCAAGATACGTCCCAAGGGTCCCTAGACGCAGAAGGTTGCTCATTTCCTTCGTTCCTTCGTAAAACGTATATGCTTCACAAATTCGCCCCGTGGGCTTTCCGAAGCTCCATGACGGCCCCGGAGGCCCCGAAGACCGCCCCAAGACGGCCCAAGAGGCCGCCAAGACGGCCCCGCGACGGCCCAAGATGGCCCGAGACGGCCCAAGAGGTCCCCAAGACGGCCCAAGAAGGCTCCAAGACGGCACCAAGAGGGGCCTAAGAGGGCAACCAAAAATGAGGGCTCCAAGACGGCACCAAAAGGGGCCCAAGAGGGCCACCAAAAATTCAAAACATCTAGCTTTCCGCCCCCAGGACCACCAGTGCCAGGGGGCCCCAAGAGTGCCCCAAGAGGCCGCCAGAGGCCCCCAAGAGGCCCCCAAGACGCCCCAAGGAGCCCCCAAGAGGCCCCCAGGAGGCCCCCCAAAGACCCCCAGACGCTTCCGTATTGCGAGCCGCGAAGCCAACTGCAATGCACTCCGCGCATACAGCCTTACTCTTCCTCGTGAAGTGCTCACTATCTTGCTCGGCGCTAATGTGCTGCTGCCGCGCGAACTGTTCCGTGCGCGCTGCGAACGTCAACAGCCTCTTCACCCGTTTCGACTCATCTGCCACATCTTTCGCGGCGATGCCTCGCTGATCACAGCTTCCGCACACCACTCGTGCTCCTTTCGTCTTCCGGTGGTCCTCCACTTGGCTGCGGGTCGAAAGGCCCACCTCCCAGAAGGACACCCCGCACCCGGGTGCACAGCACGCAAGGCGCTCGCAAAACACGCCCCAGACCACCGGCATCACGCAAACATTTGGACCCCCTACGTATCTGCCACCACCCGCGCGCGACATCGCACCCTCACACAAGACGCCGCTGGCCTCGCAACACTCACAGAAGGGGTCGGCGGATGTGGCGCAAGCCTGTAGAATCTATTTCGGGGTAGATAAATTATGCTGTTGATCCCGCACTCGAGACTTATCTTGACTACCTGCCAGACCACCCCAACCCAACCCGAAGACCCGAAATTGATCCGAATTTCGGGTTGGGGGGGGGACGGATTCCATGTGTTTTTTCAATATCCCCCCCGCGCACTGAAAAGGGAGGGAAAATTCAGGCCTTCGGGTTGGGGTGGGATGGTTTGGTGGGTGGTGATACCTTGGCCGTCATATCAGAAAACTCCAGAGATGGCCCCCTTGTTGCCGAAGCCGCTCCCGCGCCCCTCGCCGTTCGGCACGGCCTCACTCCTCCCCTCGCGACTGCGGGATGGAGCGTCGCCGGCCCGCGCGCGCACGGCCGTGTCCCCGCGAGAATGTCAGCGTCCAGATGGCAGCTGCTAATGGGGGCACTCCGTTGGCTGCTAATGGGGGCACTCGGTTAATGTGTTCGCCACCGTGCCTTCGGCAAGCTGGGGCGTGTTAGGACGCGTGTTGCTTCTCTGTGGGTCTTCTGCAGCTTGTGTTCTCTGGCCGCTTACCCACTCACGCGCGCGCGTCCTCAAAAGAGCGCCCCTGGTGCTGCTTCCTGGCGCACGTTTCTCCCTCCACGCAGCTCCAAAACGGCACAAGATCGTTCCAGGACGGGTGCCACCAAAGACAGATCCAAAAACCAACCACATGCGGCCCAACGACCCCCTGCAAGCTCCAAGATGTTCCCAAGAGTTCGCAAAGGAGGCTGCAAAAAGACGCGGCCTCCAGCGAAGACGGGAGAAACCAAAACAATGAAAAGCCCTGGGAACGAAGGTTCCGAGGCCTTTCGGCTTTAGATCGGCCCAGGGAAGCTTCACAGAGCCCCAAGAAGCCGCCAGGGGCGCTCGAAGACAGATCAAAGACTGCCTCAGTGCCCACCAAGATGGCCCAAGAGGGCTCCAAGACAGCCCCAAGACCCGCCCTGACGTCCTCAGGATGAATCAACCGAGCCTTCTCGGGACAGCAATGTAGAACCATCACGCAGAAGGCGGCCCCGAGACCCTCGACGGGCCCCCGATCGGCGCAAAAAAAAACCCAAGAGGCACTCAAGAGTGCCTCCAGCAGGCTTCATACAGGCCCGAGGTGGTCACAACCTTCCTGGGAGCACATCGATGTGCGATGCGGGAGGTCGCTTGCGAATGCTTTCCCGGTGGCCAGGGCGTGGTCCTCCTCCTGCTCTTACTCTTCCTCCTCCTCCTCCTCCTGCTTCCCCTCCTCATCGTCCTGCTCCTTCTCTTCACTTGTTTACCCATTGCAATCCTCACAATCCTCCTCACTATCCATTTATCCATTCCGACCATTGTGTGGCCGTCATCCTCGGCGTCGCTCTTTTCCTCCCACATCCCTCTCCTCCTCATCCTCCTCCCTCCTCCATCCTCCCTCCTCATCATCCTCCCTCCTCCACCTCCACCTTCTCCATGTTCTGCTTCACCTCCTAACCATTCGACGGAAGGCTCAGCAGTTCCACTCTTGGATACTCTCAGGCTGATCTCGAGCTTCGGCTGGAAGGCGGCATCACACATAGTTGTTCCACTGCATGTGCCTGCACTTTTCTCAACAGGGTAACTTATCTGGTGGTCGTTTCTGGAAGGTCTGGTGGGGATACTCGAAACGTCAAGAACTGGCACACCAAGGTCAATCAACTCGGCAAGTGCAATCGGCACAATACTATTACGAGTGACCTGTAGGCTTGCTGCAGGTACATATGCCGTGATGCAATGAGAAGGACGCCAACGCCAGCGCAACACCAGGACGAGTAGCACACCCAATCACAGCAGTCCAAAAGCTCTGGCCATGAAAACTGGCAACTCCACAACGCCTGAGCGGACATTCGGAGGAACGGGAGCCGGGCCACAGCTGCACACATGACCGCACGGACGCTGAGCAGCACCTGCTGCTGGCGTGACGAGTCTCAGGACGTCACTGGCGGCGCGATGGCCACCGCACCAGCAGCATGATCATCAGAATGCAGACCCCGAGAAGCACCCCAACAGCTGCCAGGCGGGTCCAAAGGTGCGGCGCTCGCGAGAGGCTCCAGGGCAGGGGCATATTAGCGAGACGGCCCCACCCCAGTCGAGCCGAAGTGAAGACGGACAGGACGCCGAGGAGGGGGGGGAGGGGAAAGGGAAGGCGGCGAGGCCTTGAAGAAAGACAGCACCTCCTCGGACAGCCTGACCACCCTGGTCAAGAGGTGGAGGTCGAGGGTCTGCATGGTCGCCATGGCCCAGGTGACGTTGCTCAGGGCCTCCCAGAACAGAAGGCTCCGCCCCTCTGGCGCTGAGCATGCACGATGCCAGGCCTCGTCCATATCTTACTGTCGTTGTTGCTTCTGCTGGAGCTGCACATGGTCCTCATCTTACTCCTCCGCCTACTCGCCGACGTCCTCGGCTGACCCTATCCTGGCGCTCGCCTCGAGACAGCCCTGGACCGAACCACCCTTGGTGTAGGTCCCGCCGGCGCCATCAGCATCACACCTCCCTCTCGCCGGCCGCACAGCTGGCGGTTCGCCACAGCCCGGCATAGAGAGGCGATGAACCCGCCACGACCCCTATCAGGGGCACGCTTCTAGTGGAAGGCATTCAAATGCGACGCAATGCAGCGCAATGCGACGCGAACAACATGATCGCGTATTCGCACAAAGCCCAGCACCGTCTGGCAGATCGTGGCACAGCAACAGTGCACAGCATTGAACAGCATAGCGTCGTGTGGCACATCATGGCATGGCACAGTGTTGCACAGCATCGCGCTGCATTGCATAATTAGCCTTTCGAGGCATTCGTGGCGCGGCATCGCTCTGCACAGCACAGCATAACAGTATGACAGCACTGAGGTGCATTACCAAGTACGCCACAACAGCATTACGACGTATTGTGCGATGGTATGGCTATGATGTGTTAACGCTATACTGTGCCCTGATTTGCCGAGCTACGCAATGATGCGCTATGCAAATCAATGAAGGATCCTGTAACGGCGAGCTTCGCTGGGTTGGCTGGTCGTCCCATCATCTTGCCAAGAGCCTCGAGAGGCAGAAATGTCGCAAGGGCACTTAACCCCCACCCGCAAGCCTTAAGTCGGGCGTATCCCCCTACAGGCGGATTTTGGACAACAAATAAGATAAGACAACAACATACCCCCTCATGGTCAAAAAAAAGTCGCCCCCTGAGTGTTTGTTGGACTATTTTTGAATATTCCTCCTGTAGAAGGACACGCCCGACTCAACGCAAGCCCAAACTCCAAGGAGCTGAGCAGTGTTTGCTTGACCGCATCCCCCTCCTCATCCTCATCCTCGCCAGCGTCCATCATCTCCAAAGCTCCCCACATCCGATCATTGCAGCTTCTACCCCCAGCTCGACCGGAACGGCGCCTGAGTGGACCCTTTTGGTGACGGGGGGCAGTAGGCTCTTCTCTCCTCCAGCTCCCCCTCTTCACCTACAGTCGGGGCGTTGACCTAAGGAACCCTAAATAAGGAACGAGGCCCCTATTTTCCATAAGTTAAACTTCGATTTCAGATCGAAAACCTCAGGACAACTGAAGGCAAACTGCAGAACAATCAAGGAACGCCGAGCCCCTCTCCAACGAAAAGGGTTCCTTCTTCAGGGCCCCGACTGTACCCCTGGGGCCCAGCTCTCATCCGCTCTCCCGGACCCTGGACCCTGGACCCCATCCGAGGCAGAAGCCCGAGCAACGCCATGCCTGGCATGCCGCGACGAGGGGCCCCCGTCGGGCTTCCAAGAAATCCGAGCCGCCCCAGCTGCGCCGCTGGCCCCCCGCGGGAGAGGAGGAGGAGAGGAGGAGGAGGAGAGGATTTGTTTTTGGAATTCCGAAATCAAAATATGGGTCGGCGGATTTGTTGGATTCCAACAAATCCGCCGACCCCTTGGGGATCATCGGCGTGTGAGATGCTTCCCCCTCCCCAAACCCCTCCCCCGGGAGCCCGGTCCGGTCGATTTGGAGGGGGGGGGGGGTCCGGGACGAGCGGTTCACGGGGCTTTTCCGGGCCCAAGAGGGCCTCAAGACGGGCCAAGAAGCCCCCAAGAGGCCTCCAAGACGGCCCACGAAGGCCCCGAGACGCCAAACGACCGCTCCAAGACGCCCAAGATGGCCCCAAGACGGGCCAAGAGGTCTCCAAGACGGCCCCCGAGGTCCCAAACAAGCCTCTCAAGAGGGCCCCAAGAGTCTAAAATTGTTGATTTTCCATAATGTTTTTCGATGTTTTTTGCTTTTCCGCCTTTTCGGCTTCCCGACGCTCCAAGACGGCCAAAGAGGCCCCAAAGACAGCCCCAAGATGGCCCAAGAGGCCCCCAAGACGGCCTCCAGACGGCCCAAGACGGCCCCAACACGGCCCAAGAGGTCCCCAAGACGGCCCAAGAGGGCTCCAAGACGGCACCAAGAGGGGCCCAAGAGGGCGACCAAACATGTTGAAACTCTAGCTTTCTGCCCCCAGGAGCCCCAGGGGGCCCCAAGAGTGCCCCAAGAGGCCCCCAGAGGCCCTCACGAGGCCGCCCAGACGCCCCAAGGAACCCCCAAGAAGCACCCCAGAGGCTCCGAAACGGCCCCCAAGTGGCTCCAAAACTCGCTTCCAGAGGCCCCCGAGAAGCGATCCGCGAGATCCCGATACACATACAAGAAGCCTCTCAAGGGGTCGGCGGTGTGGCGTAAGCCTAAGAATCATCAAACATAGTCAAAGAAAATCGTCCCCAGACTATCTTTTGACTATTTTTGAAGACTCCGCCTGTAGAGGGACATGCCCGACTTCAGGGCAGGGCGCAGAAGGGCGAAGAGGAGCAGCGGCGGAGGAGGTGGAGTACAGCCTGCCGGCTCCCGACCACCCAGCACCCGCGGGAGAGACCCTCACGCGGCCGCAAGATGGGGATGGGGGAGGAGAGGGAGGAAGAAGAGGGAGAAGGTCGGGCTTCTACGGACACGGGTCGACGCAGACCCAGGCCAGTCACGCCTTGCGAGATGCAAGATCCTGCCGGATCCTGCGCGCTAGCCCGGGCCAATGCAGCCCCAGCTCTGCAGAATCCTGTGCAAGGTCCGGCGCTCTGGCTGACACCCATTTGCATTGATAGAAGAAGAAGGAGAAGGAGAAGAAGAAGACAAAAAATAAGAAGAAGAGGAAGATGATGATGATGATGATGATGATGATGATGATGATGATGATGATGATGATGATGATGATGATGATGATGATGATGATGATGATGATGATGATGATGAAGAAGAGGAAGAAGAAGAAACGGCATAAACATAAACTTTTGGCGCTCCGCGCGGATTTCTTGGATCTGCGCTGGACCTCCCCCTTGCGCGCGAAGCGCGCCAGGGGCGGCGCCGGAGGCGCCGCGGGGGGCCCCAGCGCGGACCCAAGAAATCCGCGCGGGGCGCCAAAACTTTATGTTTCTGGCGTTTTTCTTCTTCGAGTTGACCCCCGTCCCAAGGCGCTCCCGAGAAGGGGGGGGCAGATGATACACCGCGGCGCCCTGGCCATGACGCCGCTCCCCCCTGCGGAGCCTGGGTCTTCGGCGCTGCGCCGGTCTCCCGCGCCCTCGAGGGGCGGGGCGGGGGGGAGGCAGGAGGAGGACCGAGGAGAGAGCGGAGGGCGAAGAGGAGAGGGCAGGAGGGACGAGGAGGAGTGGGCGAGGAAGACAAAGCAGCGAGAGAAGATAGCCGAGGGAGCGGAGGGAGGGCAGGAGGGACGAGGAGCGGGCGAGGAAGACAAAGCAGCAAGAGAAGATAGCCGAGGAAGCGGAGGGAGGGGAAGGATCTGACTGCGCATCGACGACGAGGCCAGCCCTTCTGCCAGGTGAAGAGAGAAGGGCCGGTGCTACCAACCCTCGGCTGGGCACTTCTGGTCCCATACGCACGACGGGACAAGCCCACCAGGCCCAAGACTGGGGCCAAGAGACTTGGTCCAAGTGTTAAGTCGGGCGTGTCCCCCTACAGGGGGATGTTCGACGAGAAATGACAAATACTCCAGAAATGCCTCCAGAGTGATCAGAAAATGCCCCCAAAATAACCCCCTGACTACATTTTGACTATCTTTGAAAATTCCTCCTGCAGGGGGACGGGCCCGACTTAGGACTGGGGCCAGGAGACTTGGTCCGAGTCTCTCCGCCCACCTCCTGCAGGAGAGGGCGACGAGGGGCGACCCGCACTGGCGGCGCACGCCAGGGGCCAGCGGAGGGGGGAGAGCTTCCAAGAGAGAGGCGTAGAGGGCGCCGGCCTCACGACTTAGAAGGCTTAGAAGGCCCAGAGAGAGGCTTAAGAAGACTGAGAGGCCTAGAAAGAGGCTGAGAAGGCCCAGAAAGAGGCTTAGAGGCTTAGAGGCTACAGACGAGGCCCCCGCCTCCTGAGAAGCAGGCGTGCTTCTCTGAGAAGCCGTCCGACCTTTCCCTACCCCCCTTCTCCGCGTGGCCGAGTCTTGCTGGATCTTGCGAACCGGCGCCGGCCGACGCCAATCGACGCTGCTCAACGCTAGATCTGCGCCCATCGGCGCTAGATCGACGTTACTCAACGCCAAAATCTGCGCTGATCGGCGCTAGATCGACGCTGCTCGACGCTGAGTCTACGCTGATCGGCGCCAGATCGACGCTGCTCGACTGCAAGAATCTACGCTGATCGGCGCTAGAAGATAATTACCACCCTCTGCGCGTGGCCGACAGCAGAGATGCCCCAGTGGTGCATCCTGGCAGCTGGCATCGGGCAGGCAAAGATCACGCGAGGAACGCCTCCCCGCGCTCGGAGATTAATCCGATGGATCCCACGTGCCTTCTAAGAAGCCGGGGTGCTTCTAAGAAGCCTTCCACCCTCCCCCGACCCCCCTCTGCGCGTGGCCGACCCCCTCTCGTTGCGGACGAAATTTCTACGGGAGGCATGAGGCCGTTTTTGGGCTCCTGAAAGGGCCCCACCGGATCCTGGGGCCAGCAGCGGGACAGCTCGGGAGGAGGAACCGGCCCCAGGGAAGGGGTCCTGAACTCTGGAGACCTCCTCCTCCTCCTGCCTATACCTCTTCTTCCTCCACCTTCTCCTCCTCCTCCTCCTCCTCCTCCTCCTCCTCCTCCTCCTCCTCCTCCTCATCCTCATCCTCCTTCTCCTCCTCCTCATCCTCCTCCTCCTCCTCCTCCTCTTCCTCCTCCTGCCTGCTCCTCCTCCTCCTCCCCCTCCTCCTCCTCCTGATTCTCCTCCTTTTCCACTTCCTCCTGCCTTTTCCTCCTGCCTTTCCGCCCAGGTGCCTGTGCCCGGGTGCCCGGGTGCCTGGATGCCCAGGTGCCCGGGTGCCCAGGTGCCCGGTAGCTCTATATAGCCCTATAGCCCTATAGCCCTGTAGCCCTATAGCCCCAATAGCTCTATAGCCTTATAGCCTTATAGCCCTATAGCCCTATAGCCCTATAGCCCTATAGCCCTACAGCCCCATAACCCTATAGCCCAATAGCCCTATAGCCCTATGGCCCTGTAGCCCTTTAGCCCCATCGCCTTCTAGCCCTATAGCCTTATAGCCCCATAGCCCTAAAGCCTTAGAAAGATTATGAGTGAGATGTTTCTCCCATATCATTGTGTCAATGTCATTATTCGTTCCCCTATTTCTTGAGCAGGGACCGACCATCCCGGCAGTCCTATAGTCCTGCCACGAAATGGTCTTAGAACCCAAACATGTTCTAATAACAAAAACATTGTTCTTAGAACATGAACCCGCTGTGATAAAACAAGACAGGCTCCGCCAGACATGTTCTGAGAAAATTTCGTGGAGACCACAAAAGGTTCCTAGAATATTGTTTGGTAGGGCAATAGGCGAGGCAGGACGCTTCGCCACTGCTTGAATTTCTGGACCGCCCCACGTGCCCCTATTTCGTTCCCCTATTTCGTTCCCCTATTCGTTCCCCTATTTCGTTCCCCCATTTCGTTCCCCTATTTCGTTCCCCTGTTTTTATGTCAATGTCACTATTCGTTCCCCTGTTTCTGGACCGCCCCATCACGGCACGCCGCCGTCACGGCACGTCCTCGTCGGCCCGCCGCCCGCTCGGGAGGGCGGGCCGCTGGCACCGACCGCGACCGCAGGGGCCCGCGGTCGGCCACGGAGGGCAGCGCCGGCGTGGCCGGCCGGAGCGCCTCGCATAGAGGCCACCTACCCTCTCAGGCCAGCCACAACTGGGGGAGCTGCGGTCCCTACCCCCATGGGGGACCCATCGATTCGATACCCCTCTCGAGAGATCGTCGATGCGATGGGTTCCCCCAGGAGGGTAAGGACCGCAGCTTCCCCAGTTATGGCTGGTCGGCCTCTCCTCTCCCTCGACAGGGGGCCGCCAGAGGAGCGCAGCGAGGCCAGCACGCTCGCCACGCGATTCGGCCCTCGCAGGACGGAGCGGCGACCGCGGGCCCGAGGGTCACCTCCCGCCCGGTCCGTCCCCGAGCACGGCCAGCCAACCCGCCCGCGCGCCCGCGCCGCGACAGTGGTCAAGCCGAGCGGGCTGTGGCCCAGCGCTAGCACGGCCCGCGCCGCGTGCTCCTCGTCGGAGCAAGGCGCGGCGAGAGCAGCAGCCAGCGGGGGAGGCTAGGGACGGAGGCGAGGAGAGGAGAGGAGAGGAGAGGAGAGGAGAGGAGAGGAGAGGAGAGGAGAGGAGAGGAGAGGAGAGGAGAGGAGAGGAGAGGAAGGAGGAGGAGAAGGAGGCGAGCGAGAGTGAGGGGGGGACCTGCAGCTGAAGGGATGCGGGAGGGATGGACCACATGGCTGGCCCCCGGAACCCAGAGTAGACCCGCATTGACCTCTCCTGGGGCGCCTGCCTTCGCTTCAGCCAACTTTCGCCAGACTTCCGCTACTAATCGCCGACACAGCGGCCCTTGCTGTCGCACACTCCCGCATGCTCCTATTGGCCTTCCGCCAGCTCCCGCCGAGGGAGGGAGAGAAGTCAACGACTCACCTCCTCCGAGTCGCCCTCTCGAGGGAGAGGTGGAGGCACGGCCTCCAGCTGGAGGAGGGGAGAGGCTGAGGGCACAGTCGGAAGCAGGCTGGCAGCTGGAAGGCCGAGGGCACCAGCTGCAGACGATAACGGAACGGGCACGGCACCCGTGCAACGTAGCCTTAAGTCGGGCCTGTCCCCCTACAGGGGGATTTTGGATGAAAAATAATCGAAAAATAATACATGACCTTTTTGGGGGTATTGTTGGGGTATGTTGGATGTATGTCTCATTTTTCGTCGAAAATCCCCCTGTAGGGGGACAGGCCCGACTTAAACGTAGCATGCTTGACTGCCCTCGGGCCCGCTCCAATGCAGTGCGGTGCACAGCCGCTCGGCCCCGGGGGCCGAGCAGCTGCGCACAACGCCACTCCTGCGTCCAGGATCGACTCCGACTCGGGAGAGGCCAACGTTGCACGGTACGGTCGCACCTAGGCTTTAGGTCGGGCGTGTCCCCCTACAGGGGGACTTTCGACGAAAAACACCAGATACTCAAAAAAAACCCAAATGGTCAAAAAATACTCCAAAAATAGTCCCCTGGCCATTTTTTAAACTATTCTTGAACATTCCCCCTGTAGAGGGACAGGCACGACTTAAACCTAGGCCAGAAGAACATCCTT